GTTATTAAAAAAATTTTTTATTTTTTTTCCTTTTCAAAATCTTTTTTACCCTTTTTTTCCCGGGACACAAAATGGTTTCAAAATTTAATTTTCTATTTTTGGGTTTTTTGGTTGTTTGTTATAACACAAAACAATGTTTTTAAACACCGTTTTAGCTCCTTTCCAAAGGGGCCTTTTTAACAAACTAGAACATCTATTTTTGTCATGAAAAAGGGTTCGACAAGTTAAAGTCATGTTATTCTCCACCTCGGAGCATTTTTTACTCGACCTTTTATGACAAAAACAGTATCAAACAGCGACAATCCCGGCAGTGAAAACGTCAAACTACCGACACATTAGGGGAACTAAAAAATTCTCAAATAAAACGCAAAAAATCTTTATCTGGTTAAAATTTTTACGTATGGAAAAAGAAGAAATCAGCTTTAAAATCCATCCTGGTAGGGATTCTTTAGACAATTGCACTGGTGGATTTCATTTTTCCGGGATTCATGCTTTCCCAAATTTGGATATAACAAATTGTTACAATTGAATGCCTAAGAAATTAATTTAGGGTTTTACCCAAGCAAAACAAAATTAGCAAAACCCAAAGATTTTGAAATCCCTTTTTTGGGAAGACCTTTTAAAATTTTATTTGTACCTGGAAAATCTAGGGGGGCAAACTTTGGGTCATCTTTTGAACAAAAAGACATAAGATTGCCGAATTTTATGTATCACTTACAGTCTCATTAAAACGAAACCAGAAATTTTTGTGTTTTCGCCGAATAACAGAAAGCCTTGAAAACCCTTAAACAATCTTAAAAACTTACCTGAATTTATTACAATATTGTGGAGCATTTACAATGACTTACAATGAAAGTAATGGGTTTCGGGGTTTGGGATTCATAATTATTAATAATTTTAAATTTTTCTAGTATTTATTAAAATTTTTATATTTAAATTTTATATTTAATTATATATTCAAAATAGATTTATGTATTTTTGACCCCCAATTTTTAACCCTTTGTGCTAAAATGAGCCTGGAATTTGTTAAAAAACCTACCAACTGTTTTAAAAATTACTGTTTTTTAGGAACCCCGGTAAAATGGGCCAATCAAAATTTTTTCTATTCTACACTTTTAATTACATTTTTGTCCACTTTGTATCAGCGTAATTCTTTCCGTTTTCCCCCAGGTTTAAATCACTTGGCCCCAAAAAAATATTCCCCTTAAATTTAACGAAGTGCACTTCTGTATTAATATTTAATGAAATTAACAGCGTTTAATACTGATTTGGGTTACCATGATACATATGTATATTAAAAGTATTGAAATAAAGTGCCATTTGCTACAATTTCCTAAGGTGACAAAAGTGCATTACTCTGCACAAAAGATTGATGGTGTGACATGCCCTTGGCTTCAAATTGGGGCCAGCAGTATATTCACAAGGACATTTCATTACTGAATAGAAACAATATAATTCAACAATTTGAGTGTATGGTTGCCAAATTGGCAGGGTACCAAATGATGGCTTATCAAGCAATTGTTGTATATTTAGGTTAAGCTATATTACTAGATATATAGCGTGCAAACAAATAATGAAAGAATCCATAGCGATTTTTCATGCAATTATTGTGGCTATATTTGCATGTTGCCTTAAATTGCAGTGATGAGGCAAATCACAGATTGCAAAAGCATTTTTGGTTTATATGCAGTACGTTTATTGATTGTTGTTGTTTTGTGCGTACGCGTGTGTGTGTCGGCCTTTTGTTCAAAGAAGTGTCAGCATAAGAAGAACCAATTCAACTGATTTTAACACGATACATCTGCACTTGCGCATGCCTTTCATATTAGTTAGGACGTGTGTTTAAATGCGAGGGCGAGCACGTATAACAATGCGGTGCAGACAAAATCGAAGTATAACAAAGCTGAGACCCTGTCTCGATCGATTGAAATATAAGGGTTCAAACAGGTGGTTCAAAGGGGGCCGTTAAGGACCTACAAAGTGGCCTAAACATGGTCAAACTATCTAAGAACTTAGAAATTAGTTCTTAGAACTTAGACATTAGAACTTAGTTCTTAGAACTTAGTTATTAGAACTTAGACATAAGAACTTAGTTATTAAAAATTTTAAAAAATCGGTTTTGAAAGAACTAAAAGAAGGAAACATAACTCCGTTATCATACATAAAACTTTATTCGAGTAACAGTAAACTACAAAACATGATACAAGACACTTATATCTTTTATCACAAAAACGAATATTACAATCTCGACAAGAATTTGTCAATAGCGTGCACAATTCAGAAACCGTTAATACTTCAGCTCTGTTACAATTACATTTTTTGGTAAAGATCAATGATATCTATAAGTCTACTTCAAATATTCATAGAAAAGAATTCGTATGATACCATGAGACAAAAATGTCAAGAAATGCTCAAAGTATGGTAGAATCCAATAAAATCTATGATGGATATATGTGAATATGAGCCAAAGCAGTTCAAGAAATACTTTGGTAAATGATATAAACAAATATTATTTTAGATCAAGGTCATCTTTAGATTAATGCCATATAGTCTCTTTAGGTCAAGCCATATATTCAGAGTTAAAGAAAATAAGCCGACTCTCGTTATCTCGAAGTCATCGGGACTGTCAAAAATATCGAGATAACGAAATATCAAGATAAACTTATTAGGCTTTAAACTTGTCAGAAACGGACATTGACATACCTTATATTAAAGAAAATTAACTAAGTAAGATGTCTCCATGTCATGTTTTCTTATAGTTAAAGTAGTCAAGAATTATTACGTGTGGGTTTAATCTTAAAGCTCCTAATTCTCAAGAAATGTTGAGTTTAATATGGTAAAAGGCTGAAAATTTATAATGGTTGTGTGTGAATATGAGCCAAATGGTAATGTAACATAAGCTTAAATTTAAATAATCATACTAAAATGGTGTATGTTGATGAATGGAAAATGGAACTTATAATACCTCATGCTCAGCTATACTATTCACGGATGATAAGCTAAGAATTATTCTGAAGAAATAAATTTGGATACACAGAGCCACCTAGTACTTTTTAAATGGTTGGCTTCTTACGAAACTTCACTCGTCGTCATGTCGAACGAACTTTTCAAAATCTCAAAAATACACACCAGACGAACGATATTAACAAAACCTGAACAAGCAAATCTTATCTACATTGAAAAAATATCAAAATGAATTATCATATCATGTATTTAAAAACCTCAAATAAAATTACACACAGTTTGTAAACCTATAAATTGAAGTAATTTTAACCTTGAAAATCTTAACAAAATGAACATTTTAAAAATGTAGTGCATATCTAACAATTTTCCATTATATTGAAGAAACTCAAATCCAAAGCTGCTAAGGGAAAGAATTTATGTTCTTGTAAGCATGGTTCAGATGAAATAAAACATCGAAAATAAAGAATTAACAAAATGCTTATTTTTAAACGTTTTGTTAAAAGTTTAAGAAAATATAGTGTTAATCCGTCAGGTATTTCAAAATTATACATGCACACGAACTTAAAATTAAACCAGAACGATGAACTAAGAACTTGGATATACAGTTCTGTAAAATGCCTAACAAGTTTAAAGTGTCAAGGCAATATGACGCTATCAATGCGGACGAGTTGTTGCTGTTTGTTACTTCGAGACATAAAATGTGTCGACAGTACCTTCCGATCGCTCCGTCGTAACTTGTCGTAACCATTTACATGCCACACCAAGTAAAGACCTTCCGAGACATATCTTCGCCGAGATGATTGGTGACTATGCGTTCATTACTTCCTTTGGGGTCGCTTTGTGGCAATAGCCTCATCACCGAATCTCTACACATTGCAACTGTTAGTCAGTCTCCAGTTTGTGCTACATCGATCGAAACCTACATACTTGGCATTCCCCTGGATTACTACAATAATGGGGTCCCTTCCAATGTCCTTTGGTGTACGTGTTTTGCGTTGGATAATTTTGTTAGCTTTCAGTATTAGTTTAATATACTTGTAAAATAAACTATGGATAAGTAATTCTTAATCAGTTCTAGGCTTGTTAAATGCGCCCCTCTGAGAATGACAGCTAAATCTATGATCACAACACTAGATACTGGTGTTATAACAGCCAATTCCAAACATCCATGCCCATGTAGAAACCATTGTCGTCGTCCGAATGAGGAATAAAGCAGATTCTGCAATAGGAAAAATAATCAAATTATTTGATACACATTAGAAAACCGACATTTTTTAATTATTGTAAAACTATTAGATACACAATTTAAATACTGTTTTAAATTTGATAAGTGGGGAAATACATGAATACATGCAACAGATATATTAGTTTTAAAGCTTGTGTACGCCATCGAAGAGATTTTTGGTAGCCAGATTCAGCTATAATAGCTACTTGTGGAGTTAATTTGTCCCTGCTTGTTGGAGATAGCTTGTTCGACCTTTGTATCCTATTGAAATTGGTTGTGTTTTTTACACGGTCCTTATTTAAAATATACAATCACTTAATCTTTTAAAGTTCTAGCTATTTCTTTGCAATTCTTTTAAATAAAAAATAGAATTAAAGAAATATAATTAAAGTTTATTTCACTTACATCTTCGTGTCTATCTTGCAGTAAATATGGCAAATATGGCGTTTTTCCGCCTATACGGGACCTCTAAGTTCTAAGAGCTACGAGCTAAGTTCTAAGATCTAAGTTCTAAGATCTAACATCCAAGTTCTAACTTCTATCTCAAAACGGCCTCAATGGGCTTCCGTAGTTTTTACTGTGCGCAAGTATAAAAAACGATTATCTAAATTTATTTCCAAAATACGTTTCGAATAAAAAGAAACTTAATGAAATTTAGATGGTAAATATATTTATATCACTGACGTGAGGGTTAAGAACATACTAGAACAGAACAGAACAGGACAGGACAGAGCAAGGCATAAAAGATTGTTAAACGTGTACCACTTCATTAATAACCCTACCGTATTTAACCGCGTATATTCGGGTATTCGTAATTCTAAATATAGCACACTTTAAATGAACGATTATTGATCAGGAAGGAAAGAAATGGTTAAAGATAACACATTTTATGGTATAAATTTAACATGTAGGTTTTACATTTCGAAGTTTATTGGATATTAAGAAATAAGGTAAGATCTGCTTTTATAAATATTTTCCGTTACCTATTACATCTGGGACCAAAATTATGCATTTTTTTGTCCCAGATTACATGTAATTACACGTAGACATATTTGGTCTCGTTTGTATATATAATCGACTGGTTATTAAAGTGAAAGTAACGAATTATTTAAGCTTAGGGATATTATAAACTAATATATATATTTTTTTTACAAACGGTAGTCGATCAAATAAAAATTGCCATCAAGTGCCTATGGGCACGCATATTATTTAAATCACGCGACTTAATGCAAATTCAACATTAAACTTCACCGTGTGATCTACAATTCTAACTGGAAGTTCCTAATTGTTATATCAAAGCACCATTACTTGTATGATCTCGAATTCTTTATTTAACTTTCACATTAGAACCAGCCATGTTTAATATAGAATTTATATACTGGAATTTTTCATATTTTGAAAACCAACATCGCATGATTTAGAGTTCTAGCTGCAAAACTGCACGTTAACTTCTAATCAAAACCATGTCATATAATATCGATTTGTCTCCGCAATTTTTCATTAAACTGAATTCATATATTACCTAGTCTGCATGTTGAACGTTAATTGTGCCACGTCATGACCAAACCAACATAGTGCATTTGCGACCAGCATGGATCCAGACCAGCCTGCGCATCCGCGCAGTCTGATCAGGATCCATGCTGTTCGCTTACGAACTCTATAACAAGTAGAGAAACTGATAGCGATGCGCAGGCTAGTCTGGATCCATGCTGGTCGCAAACCCATTATGTCGGTTTTGTCATGGCGCGGCTCAATTATTGAATTCTAACCAGTCTTCGATGTCTTCAAAAAGTATACTTGTCGTGATCATTATTAAAGGCACACAAAGTAGTCTCGAAGTTCCAAATTGTTTGATTTCGCACATTGTTAAATGTGGTGTAATACAGTAAGATATAGAAGTCAGGTGGTTTAATTTGGAATATGAATAGAAGAAGAGATATCAATTGACTTTAATTGGAATGTGCAATGACAAGTTGAGATCGCAAGAAACAAACAAAACCAAACTACATTATTCTAAATTCTTGATGGTATGGTAGGCTCCATGTATCTGCGTTATTAGCAGTCTTACTTAAATAAACTTGTTTATTCATCATTAATATCATGAAAATTTTATACAGGTATAAGGAAAAATGAATGAAATTGAATACTAATAACGTTATTACATTGTTGTACATGAATTTCACGCGAGGCGGCTTTCAACATACATTTTATATGTATATATGTAAATACACAACGCATAAATTTATCTTTTAAATGCATTAAATTAATCTTTATACATAATCATCTCTGTAGTGATGTTGCCCGCGGAATTTCGATTCTCTTGATCAAATATGCACGATACGGGATTTTGTAGATAAAAAAATTCATAAAACGAAACGTCGTTACTAACGGCCTTCGTTGAGGATACATCAAAAGTCGACTAACATATGGTGGATTTATTATATAGCTATATTGTTGGTAATTTATATAGCAATGTCTCGTTTTCAATGAAACGTTGAAAGGCATGTTTTGGTATGAAAGTGACCAGGATTAAAATCAGATCAAAATTAAAGTTTTATTCCAATTTTTGTCTTAACGAACTATTTCATTTAAATGAACATCTTTTTTTTAATTTTAAACTGATGTTAGGAAATAAAAATAACATAGGATGTCTTTATATAGTTTGTAATATTCTCTTGCAATGCCTGCAATATAAGCTTTTATAGTATTCACGGAGCACGGATTTGACTATTACTTTTTTTCTTTGTTACTCCTTCATTTGTTTGTTTTGTTTCTTGTCATATCGACGCTGTAAATGTCATGCGACGATTTTCCAGATTTTCTGGTGGAGGAAGACTTCAGATGTCCCTCTGAGCATCATTTCAGACACGAGCAGACACTGGAATAGAACCCACTGACCTTCCGTAAACTAGCTGGATAGCTTCGAAACAGGATTCGAACCCATAGCGATTAGAAGCAAGTGATCTGAAGTCGGCGGCCTGCAAGTGTGAACAGATAATATAATGTTGTACATTTGAAATGAATACAGTTACTGATAACTTAAGAGTTGAAGAGTAACATTTTGTATTGTTCAATTCATTTTTTGAAGGCATGTTAAGTCTCAGAAACGAATTTCTTCTGTAGAAAGGACAAATAAATAAGTATTGATGGAAGTGAAATGATTTGTGAAGAAGTAGGACAATGGAACCAAAGTGGTATTTTGAATTTCATACAAAATACTTGATCACTACAACTGTACTTAATGCCAAAATACAAAAGAAGCAGAAGGTGGGTCAGCTATGTGACCAATGAAGTACTGTTTAGAAAAACTGGACTCCAAACAAACGGTCTTTTTTTAAAACAAAGCTGATATCATTTTGGTCGGGTTGATATGGCTTTAAATTAAAAGGCCCGGTTTACCATTAGATTTAGTACAGTATTATTTCTATGCCGCGGTTGTGAGGTCTAGGGCTGTTAAGATATTTATAATGTTTCCCAGTTTAAGCTTAAATTTGAGTAGATGTACATTGTATATTTAAACTTAAATCTAGTAGGTCAGTACGTACTGTACAAAATGTTTTAAAATGAAATGAATGTTAATTATTAAAAGCAAAATGAAATAAAAACGTTCCAGAAAGTTAATCTGTGTAATCTAGTGTAAAGCAGTTACAGGAAAGTCGTTAAAGTAAACAAAAAAGTCTTTGTAGTCCTCGAGTTTCCAAGCAATTGCAAATAACTATATAAATTATATAAACTATATTATCTGTTAAAAGGAAATTGCCAAGTCATAACATAAGGAAATGACATGTAGATTCTTTCCTATTACTGTTTGTGCATAAACAAAAGGAATTATATACAAAATTTCACAAAACACATATGGTCATACTTAAGGGGATTTTTCATTTCATACTTCAGATACTCCAGAGATATGACGAGCCGCAACACAAATGGCGACTATGACAGCGTTCTATATACAAAAGTGATGACGAATGGTTTGGACGAAGATAATGACATGTCCGACGAGGAAGAGGTTGTCATCGAGAAGAAATCTCTTATATCAGACAATAAGTTATTAAACGAAATGCCAAGGAGCTCAAGGAATAATTATTGCTGCGTTAATAGAAGGATAACGACATACATTCTATTTATATTTGGCGCTATGCTATTTATAGCTGGCTTTATAATCGGACTTCTAATTGGAGGATTGATCCACAATTTTAACCAATCAGAAGACTCAAAAATCAAACACCCAATGATGTCACATAATAGTTCTTGTAATTGTTCATTTAATTCACCTCACATTATTTTGTCGACAACGGAAGATAGCAAAGATGTTGTGAACGTTACTCCCGAGAAAACGACGAGAAAAACAACAACACATTCGACGGTAGTTACACAAACACACAGTTCGACAGTCACTAAGTCTTGTAAATCATGCAAATCCCGCAATCCTTTTGAGTCTGGAGTTCATGACCCAAGCGCGTCTCTTTTCGCACCAATGACAACCAACGAGATGAAGGCTGTCTCCATAGCAATGATAACTAAAAATTACGTGTCAAACGATCCAAAGTTCGGTGATGACAGACTTTCGCATATGTACCTTTATCCTGTGATAAAAGCTGAAGCACTTAATCATCTTGATAAGAAAATGCCATTCCCCGGAAGATTTGCAAAAGTTCATGTTTATCGCCCGACACATGATCCACCGGATGTTATGGAGTACAAAGTTGGACCGCTTAATGTTTCATTTCAAGATATGACAGTCAAAAAGCTACTAAATGACGGAGATGTCCACTTTAACAGACGACCTTACGACGTGTTGGAATCTAGCAAGCTCTATGAAAAGATTAAGGTAGAAATAAAAGCTATCGCATCACTGTTGTATGAAAGCTTTGATGGAATGAATGTATCTAAAGACACTTCGCAGGAACTTTCTTATCAGCCTACACTAGACATAAACGACCGTACTTCCGGTATGGTGTTAGTTTCAAATACAGGAAGACCGGATACACTTCGTCTACTTCCGGTTTCATGCACCATTCAAACATCCGGGGACTGAAAATTTTAAAATGGTAAAACTACGACCCGGTATTAAATTTAAACAAAGGTTTCCCTTTCAAAAAACTGCATCTGATATGCAAGAAGCGTTTGATCAAATGATACTGCGTAAAATCCATTTCCCGAAAATGCATCGTGAATCTCACAAAGGCGATTTTCTACGAGTCAGAAATACATCTTTACCATCACGTGATCTATCCGACATTCCTCCTCCAAGAACTTATGAGCCGGAAGGCCCCCGGGTATAATTCGATAAACAGGAATCAACAATTAACGGTGGAGGGGTGGCAGTTGAAAGTTTTCCCTTTCTAATCCTGTAAGAGGAACCGCTATTTTTCGATTCAGATTTTTAAAAAGGGAGGAAATGCCTTACGAAATTATCAACTTTCCCAAGATATTACACTTCTGTATTCATCTCAAACAAATGGTCACGGGCCCCCAGTTTTAAGTGATACATTCTTTTTGATAGGGGATTATAATAGGCCAATTTACGATGTCGATTGTCCTAAACGAAGTAGTATTCTAAATGCAACTACATTTTTTGCAGGATCGCCAATAGATATGAACGCGATTTGTGTTTTTGAGGCAGATGGTCAGAGACCATTATGGCGGCACGGGTCACGTGGTTTAGCAGATCATTACCTCGTGGTCCGGGCACCGATAAGTGTAGGTAACTATGATTATGTTTTTGAATGGAATTTCCATCTTGACGGTCGTCTGAAGACTAAATTGACAGCGTCTGGATATCTTTTTGGAGCGTTTTACGACCCAGATGACCCAATGGTAGCAGTCGATAAAAGTTTCACTCCTTTTGGATATAGACTTGCTGAATATTTGCTCGGACCGATTCACGATCATACATTCTCCTTCAAGATTGATTTAGATATATTCGGAACTAAAAATAGTTTTGAAACTGTAAAATGGAAGGCAGGAAGCACTACAGATGCCTTTCGATCGGAGAGCAATATTAGCCGAAAGCCTGGTTATATTTTATTCAATCAAACACGGTATGTCAACAGTGAAATACTTAAACACGAAAACAGTTTTATTTTAGATACGAAAAATCCAAAAGTGTGGGCGGTTGTTAATGAAAATAAAATAAATGCGTGGGGCGCAAAGAAAGGTTATCGGGTCATTCCCCATTCAAAATACGCCGAAAACTTTGACAGTCACATGATGCTACATGTTTGGGACCATTTAAAGTATCAACTTGCTGTTACTAAAAGGAAGGAATCCGAACAGTACTCTACTAACTCTTTATACGTCATCACGCATCCATTAACAATGCAACAAGGGAGTAATGTAATGAAATTAGACGATGATCCAGTTCAAAATGAAGACATTGTTCTTTGGATTAGTGAAAAGTTTTATCACCTGCCGACGTCCGAAGACGTGCCAATGACACTTCCGGCGGAAGCAGGATTCACTTTAAAACCGTTCAATTACTTTGACAGGACACCTGTGTTTGATTTACCTGCGCGTTATTCGAAAACCGATCCATACGAGAATATTCCTTGTTTTGTCACAGACTGAAGGGTTTTGAGACAATACTGTGCTTATCATATGAAATCAAATTACTTTAATAATTTGATATTTATTATCATTATTCTATTTATTTATTTTTTGCTTTAATAAAAAAGTAGAAAGCTACATTTTTGCTGGAAATGATCGGTAGAATAAATGTTAGATTTATACAATTTTTTTATCCAATTTAATACAAAGTTGAGAGTAAATATCACACATGACAATAGACATTTTTTGCAGGATAACAGTTTTATTTATCATTTATTAAAACATTTAAATGAACAAATTGTGCATATATGCTTTTAGAATTTTTGGTGCTATAGTTGATTATTGTTGAATAAAATTTTTTATTTCTGCTTGTGTTTTGGTAATTTCGTTCATATTGTTACATAACCTATAACATGTAATAATTAGGCACAGTAATCGAAGTGGAAACTTTTACACAAATATCACAAAATATAGCTACCATTCTTTGATAACATTTTCAAAATCCAGAAAACTCTTAAAGACTTTTTTTTCTTTTTTGTTAGGGCCTTATTTGCTTTTGTCATTGAAACAAATCAAATATGAGTCAATATTTCTTAATGAAAAAAGAGTCTGTTACAGTAACATTCCAAAGTTTCCTTTACCGTCTTTTTCTCGGCGATAAAATTTTATAAAAAAAATTGTGTAAAATGTTAAAAATAGCTGCAGGAATACTGTATTCTACAGTCTAGTCCAAAAGTGAAATAATTCGATTCAATGGTGTATTATTTTTTTCCACGAATATTAATTTATCTTCATCACATATTGATCAGTATTCCAGTCAGTATTAAATCACATACATTGTATATCTTACAAATCTAAATTAATCATAACCTTGCTGAACTTTAACTTTAAAATAAAAGAGACACTTGTAAACAATTGATATATCCCTATGGCCCTAACCTACTAGCTCATTCAAATGATCAGATAAGTGTATCGCATACGGAATTTCACCACAACCTTTTTGTTTACAAATGAATACATGTATTGGTATGTAGTATTCAAATAAAAGGTCAAAGTAGGGGTCTATCAATGATAAATAGCGCATTTTCCTACGCAGTGATCACCCCTTATTAGTACAATCTACAAAGGGAGGTAATCACTGTGTGAGTTTGGTTTTAGCGATGTTCAACCAAAAAACCGTGTGCCATTTTATTTACTAGCTCGTGGTTATCACTAAAACGATTGCATAGAAGTGTCTACGTAGAAGAAACTGGAGGTATTGTATTGTATTTTTATTTGATTCGACGATTGATCTCGGGAAATAATTTTCATCCCTGTAGAAAATGTGGAAAGTATTCAAATTACATGTTTTCATGGCATAATTTGCTTAAAATAATTGAAAATCTGGGGAAATGAACGAAAGTTTTCATCATGTTCGCCAGACGCTTATTGGATGATATAAGCCTTTAAACATATCCTGGTTTTGGATTTAGCCCGTAATTAAATGATGCCGAATAAATCTTGTATATGATTATTATTTGTTTAAGAAGCTATAATTTATAAATAATATGAAATTAGTCAAGGAGTATGAATGTGAAAGTCTGTAATAAAATAATTCATTTTTCTGTTTTAAATGTGTCATTCGGTATGTCATGCACCGCTTCTGTTTCACTCAAAACACTGGACGATTTCTATCAATCTGTACAAATCTTTATGTGTTTCATAGCACCTGTTAATAAGTTTAATCCTCGCCTCCAGGCCTAACTTGAAAAAAACTTGTGATAACACATCTACATGTATATGACATGACTTGCCACTCCATTTGACGTAATACCCCTGTAATTCTCTGATGGAAACATCACAATTATTTGGGCATAATATATAAGACACCTGCCACTTTTCAATCATCATGTTAAATTAGTTTACACCCTGAATCGGTCATGAAAATCATATTTGACAGTAACTACACCAGGGCTTTTTTTTCACAGGTTGGGGAAGCAACCATGCCCTTAATTTTGGGGAAAAATTACACAGTATATTTGCAAAAGGGGAAGGAAAAACTTTATGTAAATTCAATTTTTAAAGAGATTTCCTTTGGAGAAGCAGCCCTATACCGGCCCCTGCTATAGAAGGAAAAAAAGCAATGTACAAGCAACATCACTAGTCACATTGACTGTGTAAATATATCCATGGTTTCACCCACTCCTTTTAGGCCAAAAAAAAAAAATATGTCTGGTTCAGGAAACATTGGTCCAAAAAATTAGGAGGGTAGGGATTTTTTTTTTTTTTTTTTTTTTTTTTTTTTTTTTTTTGCGTTGGAGAGAATGTCTTATTTTCCATATATATAGATAGATGTGTTGCTTGCTTAACATACTTAAACAAAGATTGTAATCAATCAATGCAAACACCATTTTTGTAATAAACTATCAGCATGTGATATTGTGTTGTTTATTTCTTGTATGTAGTCATTTAACCATGTAGCACCTGTATTCATACTAATTTGCTTTCTATTCTGCTTATTATGTTCCCTTTCCCTTTGAATCACCCGCTGTACTATTGCTAACCTGCATCTGACAGGTCTGACAATTAAAAGATCAAGGGTCACCTCTGTAACAAGTTAATAATAATGCTGTATTATAAGCTTAGAGCATCTGACATGCACTATTCTGGGGACCAAAATAACACAGCTATATATAATTTTAATATTAAACATATTCAAATGGTCTTCAGGGGGCGCAAGTCTATATATAGATATATATTTGCAACTGGTACCAACAGTTGCAGGGTTCTCACAAAGAAGGAGCCTTGAAACTCCCAAGCACAAAAAGTAGGAGTTCCAGATCACATTGAATATATATATATGTTAAGCTATCTTTGCTGCACTTATAAACAGTTGACAAATATGATGTAAAGCAGAGTACGGGGTTGGGGAGTTAGAGTTTGAACAGAGAAAAAGCTTATTCAGGAAAATGGTAGTATGTCCCAAATGGAAAACACTGTACCATAAAAGTGATTGAAAAGATTTAAAATATAATTTAAAAAACATACATCATCAGATCATTATGCTGTTTTCTTACACCCCCCCCCCCTTCCCTTTAAAAAGAAAATATTCATTGTATGTTACAAACAAATACTGGTAATGGCTCCATCTCAACTTATAGTTAATCTAATTCCTAAACTATATTTTCAGTGTTATTACACACATTTTAACAAAACATATCTTCCCTTTGGTTTCGATTTTTTTTAATTATAAAAAGCGGCATCGCGAAAATATGTGACAATTGAAAATTTGTCTGTTTCCTGCAGAAAAATTCACAATTCTACTTGTTGTTGAGTTAAATCATATAAGATTAAATATTTTTTGATTATTTTAAGATTGTTACTCATCGGCTATTTCAAAAGGCATCGTAAAACAAATTTTCACTTTAGTAATTTTCGTACCCGAAAATTTTCGTACCGAAAATCAAAAAAAAAAGTTTAGGGTCGGCGGTAAAAAAATAGGGTCGGTCGGGTTCCCTGAACCAGACATATTTTTTATTTTGGCCTTATCAGCAAGCTTTTCATTTTTTTCCAAAAGCATTTCTTTCATTCGAATTATATTTATTCACAGATGTTTTACTACCCTTTGTTTCTTGCGTCTCAGTTATAGTCAGTCGAGATTCCTCATGAGTTTTATGAAATTGTTTTTTTGTTCTTTTCCAGGTTTTTTTTCCCTCTTGTTAAAGACTCAAGGGTAGCAAAAGGCAAAACTGTTAAAGTTACCAAAGTTTATCGTTAAGTATGGAGTTGGTGTACATGTTTGGAGCGCTGTGTACATGTTCATCATTCTGCTTTCAGCTGGTAGGCATGTAAGTATCACCTTTTTTCACAGATAAATAACATAATTTCAAGTCTATTACAATATTAGTAGCTGTCCTGGAAATGGAAGCTTAGTGTACTAAAACGTAGGAACAATAAATGACCAGTTTGACCAATTTCAGTTGCTGAAATTTTTTTTTGACATAAGAACCCTGATAAACTACATTGGACTCCCAAAATATGAAATTTAGGGTCCATAAGTTCCAAGGGAATGTTCTCATATTGCATTAATTTTCTGCAGTAAAAAAGATATATTCCAGAAAATGTAGCCTAATATATTGTAAGATTAAAATAGGGTGCTAAAAAATAGTGCTTTCTTTGTACAGTACACAGAACACTGCACAAACATCATAATAGAAATAGTGTAACTTTGGCATATCATGGGTTTCATAGATGGTCTGTCTTTGTACACATATTTGCTTACACCCTCATGGTCACCCTTATAATCACCCTCATAGGCAACCTCATGGGTATTAAACATCACAGTATATCACTTATTATTATATACAGAATAACATTTTACTTTATTTTCAGGCAAATATGTTATAATATAATAAAGAAAGGAGGAACAGGGGATATGTCACCATTCACTTTTATATCATATTTTGTTGCGTAAGTACACATTATGTAGCTTTTCAGTTTATTTTTTGGTGTGCAATGACCCATTTTTATTTACTGACTCGTGATTTTCACTTTAACATTTGCACTGTGTAGCATTTTAGTTTATTATTGGGTGAGTTTATATAAAATTCAGCACTGTAATGGTCTTATGATTCTTTTCTCTTGATGTAGTGCAAAAAACCCAAAAAAATAAGCCCTTTCCCAAAATTTAATAGCATTTAGTCATTTTTATTGCAAAAGGTAAAACAATTTTAAATAAATGCATGGTTCTGTAATTTCTTTTAGAAAGTTTACTTTATAAAGCTGTGTGCAAAGAGTTTGTTTCCCCCTTAGCAATTTTTAAAATATTAAATAGCTTTTAAAAGAAAAGTCTAGGGTTTTATTTAGAAAAAAAGGGGGACCTGAAAAAAAAACCTCCAAAGTCTTAACTTTCAGCTTTATGAAACAAAGAAAAAGGAAAAAAATTCAAAATTTAAAAATTTAAAGGTTTTAAATGTTGGGCTTTTTAATTTACATTGTTCTAAAGACGAGCATGATATAAATGCAGTAAAAAAAAGGGTCATAATAAATTCATTTTTGTACTGGATAATGACCTTGAAGAGTTTCATTTGCTTGTGTTAATTTTTGTTGGGCTAGGTCAAATATATTTAGTCAAGCTGAACATGTATTTTATAAGGCTTCATTTTATATACATTGCATTTTGTTACACTTGATCACATGTATTTTGTTATATTGGATCACATGTATTTTGTTATATTGGATCACATCATGTTTTCTGTTAAGCAGGATCACATGTATTTTATTATGCAGGATCACATATATTTTATTAGGCAGGATAACATGTATTTTATTAGGCAGAATAACATGTATTTTATTAGGCAGGATAACATGTATTTTATTAGGCAGAATACTAGTAACATGTATTTTATTAGGCAGGATAACATGTATTTTATTAGGCAGAATAACATGTATTCTATTAGGCAGAATAACATGTATTTTGTTAAAGCAGGATCACAGGTACTAGGCTTGATCACATGTATTTTATTAGGCTGAATCAAAGATATGTGTTATATTTGCAGAAACAGGAGTATTTTATTAGGCGGGATCACATTTGTATCTCATGTTATTTATTTTTAAAACAGAATACAGACTCGAGATTAATTTACTCTTAAAATAAGCCTATAGCATTATATGATCTTTAGACAAACTTTATTTTCAGGTGTACTATGTGGTTGAAATACGCATTAATACAAAAGTTACCCGTGGTTATAGCTGTAAATGCGTATGGTGCTATACTCAACTTTATATATACAATCATCTTTTACAAATATAGTACAAAAAAGGTATGTTACTGGTTTATTTTAATATGATCACATTACAGCAGCTAGCCTTGTGTTTTTGAAATTGGCCAATAAAATACAGGGGGCTTAATGAATCATTTCATTTTTGACAAGTTGATCCAATGCATGTTAAAGCTGCTTGTACATGTAGTTGATCACTTGAATCAATGTGAAGTAAAACAAAAATCATGTGAGCCGTGTCATGACAAAACCAACATAATGGGTTTGCAACCAGCATGGATTCAGACCAGCCTGCACATCCGTGCAGTCTGATCAGGATCCATGCTGTTTGCTTACAAACCCTATTACATGTAGAGAAACTGTTGCGCAGCATGGATCCTGATCAGACTGCGCGGAAGCGCAGGCTGGTCTGGATCCATGCTGATCACAAACCCATTATGTTGGTTTTGTCATGACGCGGCTCATTTGTAGTTAGTCAAAGATACAACATGTATTTTAACATAAACTGTTTCAATCACCATATTTCTAACTTCATACCAATGTAGACAATTGGAATTTTTCATATTTTGACCTTTAATTTGACCATTTCAATTTCTATGGTTGATAAGTACATGTAGTTGGAGTTAGGGCTAAGTTAAATGTTAATTAATGATAAGATAAAAAAAAAGATACCATGATGGCGGCTTACTGCTTTAAGATCATTTAATTTTGTTTTCCAAATTTGATGAAATTTTTTTTTCATCTTTTCAACATACAGATCCTTCAAAGACAACCCGCTTTTGGAAGATAAAAATATATAAGATAATACCTGTTGTATACATAATAGGAAATATAGTAAATTTTCAATTAAAGAGCCGAGAAAATAGTCATTTATTTATTTTTCTATTTAAAAAAGATGTATAACATTATATATAATTTCAGTCACAGTTTTCATAGATTTATATTTTTGGGAGTAGCGAGCTGGTTTTCCGGGTTTATGTATTTTAAGATTTTTACCAGACAAAATGGGTTTAAAATTGCCCATGGAAAAATCGGGAAACATTTTGGGGGTTCTTATTTACATGATAGGTTACGGTGCTCCATTTAGTTTTAAAATTTTGGGAAATAAAATATGTCCCTTTGCTTTGGGGAAAAAAAAAAAAAAAAAGCCCGAAAACAGGGGAAATAAAATACTTTTTACAAAAAGATTTCTATGGGTTTTTAGGGGTCCCGACTAGTTTAAAGGGCATTTGGGGGGGGTTTATGGCCCCAGTGGAAATTTAGGATTGGCTTTGAACTACTTTTCCCCTGACCACATTTCTGGTTAGAAATAATGCCAGGGGCCCCCCTTTTTGGATTTTCTTTTCAATGTTGAGGAAGGATATCCCAGCATTTGATATCATCGTAAACATTGTTGGTTCTACCATTCTACTCAGGTGCATGCTTGTACCTGAAATAAAGCTGCAAAGTTTTAATATGACCATTTAAAAGTGTCCTTATAACTTAAAATAAAAAAAACGACAAACCATTTGCCCCTTACTGCTGTAGGTTCCAATCCAGCAAGGGACTTGAAATTCTTTCATGTGAGGAAGCTAGATTTTGGAATGTCACTGGTTCTACTCAGGTGCCTGCTTTGCCTGAAAAAGTGCATAATGGAGGAACTTTAGTTCTTTCTTCACCAATAGGGGCATGCATGACCTAGTGGTTGACTTCAAACCACTTGCCCCTCACCGCTGTGGGTTTGAATCCCGACAGGGGTTTTAGATTCTGTAATATGAGGAAGCTATTCAGCTAGCTTATAAAACAGAACATTGGTGGATCTACTGAGGTGCCTGTTTGTTCCTAAAATAAAGTAAAGAAGGGCACCCTAGGTCTTCCTCCACCATTAAATCTGGACTGTTGCCATATGATCTATACAGTATCTGTGTGACGTAAAACCCAATCAAACAAACAAAACTTCACCAGTAAGGCTGGAAAGTGCCCATATTACCTTTAAAAGTGTTGATGTGTCTTAAATAGAAGTAATGAATGTAGTTTACCAGCCTGATCTTAAACTAAAAGGAATGCACAGATTATTTTGTATTCTACTACTTGGGTATTGTTTTGTATTCCACTATTTCGGTAAGGTCAGGGCAATAGGTATATGAAGTAAGATACTTTTAATGTTTAATTGAAGGAGAAAATCTGCTTGTAATGACTCGGAATGACTGTCCTACAGCAGCTGAAAGAAATTCTGTTAGCCGGCTATTTCTTGCAAACAACCAATACATGCATATACGCTTTAAATAATTGCTTTATTTTAATTATACCATAATTGCACATAAGTACAAAGGATGTGTGAGAAATTTTGATAATGTTAAGAGTTTTTACAGACATGATGTGGGTCGCATAGCACAGGAGACAGTACAGCCAGGTTTAATCATTTGTGCTAATATTTGCCAACTTCATGTAGCGATGGATGTGGACCAAGTGGTATGGAGGGCAATGATCAATGAATAAAATATGTCCAGGCCCACATATTTTTCCTTTTCTACCTGCTCTCACGAGATTGAAGAGTTTTCAGCTACTTTGTATGAGTAGAACTTGCAGGGAAGCGAGTGGATAGTTGGAGACTGCTAGTAGAATTTTGTAGTTCTCATCCAGGACAAGCAACTTTAATATTTTTTCTGTTGTACATTTTTATACATATAACATGCAATGTAAACAGAATGTCAGCTACTTACTCTGCTGTTGTGTTACACTGTCATCATGTTTCGTATGTAATCATGTTGCGTAGATGTTACACTGTCATCCTGTTGCATAGATGTTACATTACCATCATGTTGAATAGCTGTTACATTGCCATCATGTTGCATAGATGTTACATTGTCATTCTGTAACATAGATGTTACATTACCATCATATTGCATAGCTGTTACATTGCCATCGTGTTGCATTGCCATCCTGTTACATAGATGTTATATTGCCATCATGTTGTATAGCTGTTACTTTGCCATCATGTTGCATTGCCATCCTGTTACATAGATGTTACATTGGCATCATGTTGCATACAATGTATATGTTACATTACCATCCTGTTACATAGATGTTTTCTGCCATCCTGTTGCATAAATGTTACTTTGCCATCATGTTGCTTAAGCTTTTCTCTAGGTAGTTGCATAAAATTGGTATCATTTGATATGATCCATAGATATGTAAATGTAAGTGTGACATGATTATGATGTAAGAAAGTCTGTAATATTTTAATGAAAAGTAATTTTCTCTACTGTTTTGTAGCATGGTTATTATTTAAGTTAATGTAAAGAGAATTCTGATAATAATCTTGTAAAAAGTAACATTATATATTTAAATACATAATATAATAATACTTTTTTGTATATTTCAGGCACCAAACATTCTAGGAGGTGTTTTAGCTTTAATGCAGTTGTCACTTTTCATCATCTATCCACCATCGCAACTGAAAAGTAAGATCATTCACAGTTAGTACATCTGCAGAAACAATAACGTACTTTCTCTAGCACTCAATATTATATGTGATATTACTTATTATGATATGATGCATATATATATATATTATATATATTTATTTTTGAAAAAATGTGATTCAGACATTTGATTTCATAAATATTTAAATATCCATCAAATTTTTGTCTTTTATCAGGGTTTGAAAGTTTAGATTTTTGTTTCTTTCTTGATCAATCATTTTCATAAAAAACCAACATGACAGTTTTATTTTTAAAATAATCAGATTTAAATTTTTCAGTAAATAACCAAAGAAATACCTTGGTATTCATATTAGTGTCAATTTATATCTAATGAAATATTCATTAGATTAAAGTTGAATGCCTTTTTCTTTAGAAAGTTAAGGAAAAGCATATGTACAAATTTGGGAAAAGTTTCACCACTTTTACAAAAATGGGGGGAAAATTATGGAAAACTGTATGTGCAATATTTTAACTTGTTAAGAATTAGATTATACTGTTTATGACTAAATTTTGATTATTTTCTTTAGTTAAATGTAAATATGAAATTTTGGCATATTTTAAAAATACTGGAAAAAGGCATCCTATGTTTTTATTAATAAAGATATCAACTTAATTATTTGCATTTACTGAAGAGAAAAAAATTCAGCGAGATCTTTCAAATGTATTCATCATGAAACTTTATTTAATATTCTTCTATTTTTGCAGACAATCAAATCATCGCATCTATATTTATATGTTTTACAAGTGAGTGGTTCAGGAAAATAGGGTGAAACAATGCTTTCATAAGAAGATTGTGTTCTCTGTGAAGAAGGTTATCCCTTCACCTTTGAATGAACTGTTCCTAGATTAGGGCAAATCCATTTTATAATTCCTGTGGGCAAAGGGTTAAAACCATTCAGAAATGACAAATGGTATGAAATGTCAAAAGATAAATAAATCTTTAATGTCACAAGTTTTAACATTTTGTCTCTGATTAAAAAAGTTTCATGGGAGTTTGAAACTTGTTTGAAATATGGGCTGTTTCCTTGAACCACTCTCATATTAGTCATTATGTGTTCTGTGATAAATAAATCACCTGTGTACTGTTGTATATGTAGAAATAAAGCATGTATCAATTATTTAACTTCAGCAATATAGCATAGACATGTATATAAATTTACAGCAAAGTAGCCTATTATGTATTGTTACCATTCACTTGTTAAAAAAAACAAAACTTGCCATTGTTTCATTTATGTAAAAATAAAGCATGTATCAATTATTTAACTACAGCAAATTTGCCTGTTATGTTCTGTTACCGTTGACTGCTTTAAAACAAAAACTTGCCATTGTTTTATTTTATTGTTTGTCGAGCATTGAAACTTTGAAAATCATTTGATACCAGTATGTTTCGTATTTATCTGTTACATTTGTTACATTGCATGACAAGATCATTTTTTCTATTTCTTTCATAGCTTTAAAATATTGCATTTTATTGTAAGGTAATTTTGCCTAAAATTACTGCGGCTCTGATTTAATTACTCACCTTAGTGAAGTTACAAGTTCACTCCTATTCAATTATATAAACAGTTAACCCATTACAGCATTA